AATTGATAAGAAGTGATAGCAAAGATTTATATTGTTAGAAAAGATTTATATTTTGAATAAATTCTGTTGTTTTTAACTTTTTATTCATCAAAGAATCCTGGAAAAAGTATCACAGCTTCCAAAAAAATATTTGGCAGCACAACTGTTGCCAAATATTCTAACACAGTGATGGAGATTTACTACTGATTACAGAACCGGCTTAACTGACGAGATGCGCGTGACAATCACATTCAATTAATTGTGCAGCCCTATTATGCAAAGTTTGATAAAGATTTTCATTTTAGTTTTAATAAAAAAATGTTTGTCATTTTTATTTATATTTTGAATTTTTATAATTGTAGTTGAATCTTTGTATTTATTTATATATATATAATAGTTTTTATTATAATATAATATATATATATTATATATTATACTTTTTCTTTTTAATCTCAGTTTTAGTAGTTTTGTTGTCTTTTTATATAGTTTTTAAAATAATTTTAAGAATTGTTATGCTTTTATTTACATTTTTATATTATATTATACGTTTTTATTTGAATGTTTTTATTTTCATTTTAGTAAAAGTTTTAGAAATGTTGTCTTTATGTAGTTTTTATTTCTTTATCTTTATCGTTTTTTAAATGTGTTTAGTTTTTATTCATTTTTAATTCAGTTATAGTTATTTTAGAACTTCAAGTTAAACTAAACAAAGAATGATAAATGTTGCCTTTGCAACTAGCTGAAATAAAATAAGTAAAAAAAATAATTTCAGATAACGTTTATTTTAAACATTTATTTATTCACAATGACAAAGCTTTGGTTTCTCATGAAACTCCATCAAACCTCAAGAACATCAGCTGTCAAACACATATGCGTCTTTTTCCTTCTGGAGTAGTCTGTAGGTGTAGGAGACGTGAGGTTGTTGCTCTACGAGACCCAGAAATGGATATTCAGTCATTATTACTCACTCACTACTAGCATCACAACGGTGAGTTTTGCACCCATAAACAGCGTTCACGTTTTCTTCACTGTTCTTAAAGGTTCCTCTCCAGACTTGTAAAAGTTCATCCGGCTCTCGACGGCCGCAGAATTTCTGATCTCTGAGTCTCACCTCGGTGACCAATTAGACACAGACTTTCAGCACTAAATGTCAGACGAAGAGGCCAAACGCAATCAAAAGAACCGGCCGCGCTGTTGTCATGGAAACGCTCCGAGTGTCCCTCCTTAAGTCCTGCTTGACCTTTGCTGCAGGATTTGTTGTGTGAGGCAGACCCTGAGTGACCTTACGTCAAGTTTAATTTGATTCGCACTGATATCATTTCCACTTTCATTGTTGGCAGCTTTTGACTTCTCTCTTGTGTTTTTTCGATGTTGTTGGCATTTAATGATTCGCGGGTGTTTTATTCGGTGTGAATAAAGCGAGACAGAATCGATTGGAGAGACTGTTTGGGGTTTTAATTTTTACCACGAATGAAAGTCGTGCATGTTGACCCTTAAATAAACGTCTGATGTAACTTAATGGCTCTGAAAGAAACTTGATTAGACTTTGAATTGATAACTTTTTTTTTTTTTTAATATGTAAAAGTAAAAAAAAATTTTTTTTTTTACAAGAAAACACTGTTTCAGTCTTTCTCCTTAAAAAAATTCATTTTTAATTCAATGTCTTGCTTGTCATTTCATTATCTGTGAAATTTACTAACAATTTCTGAGTGAAAATTCTAAATCCTACACTTTTTTTTTCAGTGCAGAGTAAAGAGTTTAAAATATTAATTTAATATTAATTAGACTCATCATTCTTGACCAATTAAAGACAACATTTGAGCTGCTAGGCCCCGCCCATTCTCACATCCCACAGTTTCATATTAGTTGTTATAGTTTATGCTAATTCGATTAAATTTTTTTCTACAAATGAAAATCATGTCTTTTGACCTATAAATTAGCTGGTGTGTGACTAAAACAGGTCTTTTTCTCTTGTTTTGTGCATTTCATCTCTGCTCTAGCATGTTTAATAATCTCGTTTTTATTTTGTTTTATTATTTTTTATTTAAACCTGTGTATTCTGAATATTTTTAATCTATAAAAATTGCTTGTGATTTTCTTCATTTTGTAAATCACTTTTGGATAGAAACGTCTGCTAAATGAATAAATAATCCATGAAAAATTCTTGACCAATCAGAGACAACATCTGCATTGCTAAGCCCCGCCTTTTCTTGGGTGGTTGTCATCGTATTTTACGCTAACTATATTCAACATTTTTACTAATAATGAAAGTCGTGACTTTTGACACAAATTAGCTGACATGTGACTTATTACTGGCTTTGAAATAAACTTTAATAGGCATAGAATAAATAGTGCAGAGTACAAAGTTTAAAATGCTTTAAATATTAATTACTCCCATTATTATTATTATTATTATTATTATTATTTTTACTCCTACTCGTATATTAAAATAGTTCTTTTTCATCTGTTCTTGCATATTTACTAATCTAGTTTTGTATGTATATGTGTATATATATATATATATATATA